ACATTTGTACGTGTCAGATGTAATTACAATTTCGGAATCTTGGAATATATGTGAGAGAGAGAGCAATATGGCAGCGAGCTCGGAAGGAGAAGAGGCGAGAGTGTAATTGCTGCTAATTATAGAGGATGCGCCGAGTTGCGTGGCAGAGAATTGAAGCTCTTAGCACCTCGAGATGCCAGAAACTGATAAAAACTCGACAGCACGTATATAATGCAATAAAGCACCGCAGATAACACACGGCGCGCGTTTTTTCCCCATTCTCCAGCAGCACAAAAGTTATCATTTCGGAGAGGAGGGAAATATAATAATCGTGTGTGAACCATTTGCACTTGAAACAAAAGAATACCTTAAAAAGTTGCAAGTGTTCGCCTTTATTTCTCAGCTCTATTGCACGCATGTCCGTGTGTAATACAAAGCTTTGCTCGCACCCGCGGTAATAATGTTTAATATCACTTCTTGAAGGAAAAAAAACGAGAATAATTCAGTGCGCGGCGCCGCTGTCGTGTTCCAAGATCGTAAAAAAATGAAAACGTTGCGCGAGTGAGCCTGACATTGTCTTTCCTAGAATTCGGTGTTGGAATTTGTTAAGCGACTAATTATTGTTTTATCATCATGTGCAGTGCGCGACTCGGCGCGACTCTCATCATGCCATGCATGTGTGCGTCGTCGCCTTTAATTTAATTCATGCGCCATTAACTGCAAGTGTTTTCACTTCCCATGCACAAGCTGCAAAGAAAAAACCTTAATGGCAAGGTCTGAAATTAACGCTACTTAGATTCATTTAATTTCAAACAGACAAGAGCAAAATAATTTGTATGTCCCAACGGTTAAAGTTATTTATATTTATACAATTTAGAAATAAATATTTTCGTCACAATAAGAATTAGAAGTATTAGAACTTATTTTAAGAGCGCAGGAAATCTAATTTTTATAGCCAAATTTTGTTAATATTTACTAGAAAAAATTCATACTATTAGTTTTAATTTTTAATCAATATAACTAATAAAAGGACTGCAGATTCTAATTTAAAAAAAAGTATGCTCACTGCGGCAGCACTTTTTGATCTCGAAAGCTTTAGCAAAATTCTTGCTAATGGTTTTTGTCTAACAATCCATTTTTTTTGCAAATAAATTGCTCTCAACAATTGAATGTAAACAATTTGAACAAATAAACAATAATATTTAGAATAATGATTAAATTATCAAATTTCATTACCAAATTAATCTTTTTAATAATTTCCATACTTTTTGAGTAAAGTTGGCTTATTATTAAACAACCCGGCCACAATTCTATGTTAGATAATTATGAATTACTGTTGTATGTGGTACACGTAACATTGTGCTGTGATTTTTTTTTTAATTTCCTATATTGCTGTTTCGCATCTGTGCCCAGCCTTGTGACGCTTCAAAGGAAAATGGCACAAAACATAGCATCGCACAATCGGACGCGTGACGAGGCAATAAAGCAATTAAATGTGGGCAGCTCGCTCATCAACCGGACCAAAATTATTAGCAATAATATCGAAGGCTGCAGACCATGAACGATAAAACACACTGCACGCGCGCCACCACCAGCGCGAAAGGACATGGCGGTTTTCACAATAATTTCCCAGGGCTGCACAACACGCCTTTCCCGCGGCACAAATTATTTTATCGCGAAATTCTAAATAATTGATAATTTCGAATAACATTCAAAGTTCCGTTTGCCTCCATCATTGACGTTATATGAAGTATAATTAAAAAAAATTGATAAAAATATAATTATATTGAGCTAAAGTTTGGATTTCACGCAAATTTGACAGCATCAAAAGCAGTCGAAAGATTTATTAAATTAAGTTTCACAGCGATATGGAAAATGATAAAAAAAAAAAAAAAAAAATGAGAGGGCTGGTGCGGCTATTTCCTGTGAAAAGTGCCTGTGTGCGACTCCATGACGCTCTATTGTATATTTGAGGAAAAGTTTTTTTTTATAAGGGGAGATATATTTTTTTTATATTAATTTTTAATAAAGCTCCAATTTAAAATGAATTCATATTCAATTAAAAATTAGAAGTTTTGCAGAATTTAATAATTTCTGATGATTTATAATTAAATTTCATCAATATAATTTTTATTGCTTTTCAAAAAATAAAAATTATTTATTATTTTGTAGAGAAATAATAGAGGAGCTGATTTTCGATATTCCAGCCTCTCCTTTTCGGTTGCTTTTAACTACCAAGTTGAGAATCAAGTCAACTTTTTCTCCACACATAATGAGTCATTAACCGATCCATACACACACTCACTCGCCTCCGAAATTTTTTTTTATTTTACTTTATATAAAAACGAGTGCTTCTCTCACGAGGCCTGGCGAGCGAAAATAAATGGATGCAGCTGGAAGGGACGTGTCCACTCGAGAGACGCTTTCGCATGGTCGCACCCTTTGGTCACGCCGCGACTCGAATTGTCTGCCGAACGCCCTCCAAAAAATACACACAGAAACCCACCAAACCACCCTCCAGCCGGCGCCAGACCCCTCGTTCGGCTCGCCAGCGGTCGCCCAACAATGGCAAAACAAAATAAATATCCTCTTTCGCCCAGCACGCCAATTATTATTAGAAAACATACTCTCGGGCGCCAAACCGCCGCCGAATTCAACAAAAGCTCGCGCGGTGTTTGTTTCTCTTTTTCTGAATCAATGGTTTTGGGTTTCAACATCTGGGGACGAAAACAAGATTTTCGGCGATGAAGTAGATTTCGAACCGAGCCCCAGGGCGATGGAAACGCAGAAGGACGCACCGTCAGGTTCGTCCACGTCCATAAGCGACGCCGAACATAGATTTTTCTCTCGCCTCTCTGCTCGCATCTTATCACGCAGAAAATTACTTTGAGACGGCGCGCATGAAAACTGATCCCCGCCGAGCAAATTATTCCCGTCCTAAAAAAAAATCCCAATCCACATTAAACTATCAGGTTTTCTAGCGTCTCTCTCCGCATAATAGAAAAATAGACCAGAGAGGTGCCCACAAATTCTTTCCGGTGAATCAGCCAACCGAGCACACCCGCAGAAGGTTAACTTAATTATCTATGGCTCGGCTAATTTAATTATCAAATTTCACAATGAATTAATTTACACGAGTGAAAAAAAATTTAAATAATCAAACTTCCACGATGAAACAAATAAAAATGAGGCAAGAGAATTTTGCTTTCTGCAAAATGAAAATTTAAAATGCAATTTTTTTCTGTTTTACCTTTTTCTTTACACATTTCTGTATAATTTCATTTAAATAATCAGACGTTAAAAATTTATTATAAATTTATACACTTTTTAATACAGAAAATGTGTTATTCTCAAGCATATGTCAAACGTGTAATTAACTAGATTAATGTGGTGTTGTATATGTTGTGTCCTCCGACTTGACGACCAACTTGTTTGCACAATTATAATCCATAGTCGGATCGCTTCGGAAGTTATCAAGCCGCGATCAGTAATCGCAAATGAGCTGTTTGTTGCTAGGATCTGCCAGCGTTCTAATTAATTAGTGTTGATTTATTGACTGGCAATAATTAGCAGTTGAGGCACACGCTATTAGCGGCGATTATTGCTGTAAACCGAGAGTGCATTCGCGGTGGGAAGAAAATTTTATATTTTATGTGCTATTGAAAGAGAGATGCGCACTCGGCGTGAAACTGCTAAAAGTGGAAAAACAGACGCACACGGAATGTGTAATTATCACCTGCATTTTATGCTGCTGTAGACGCGCGAGGGAAAGAGATGATGTTCGCCATGAACTGATTAACATTATCATTATTCTGCCGCGAGTCGCGCGGCGGCGGCAACAAAATATAAATCGCTGCAGCGGCCTTGCCGGCGCGCAATTAATTTTACAAACAGCTCTCGCATGAGCAGCACACGCTCGCAATAAAATGCAGCTGGCAATGCCTTTTTAAAGACCTGCATTATTTTATATAAATCGAACACAAGACGTGCGTATGAACGGAAAAATGCGTCGCCGCGACACGATCACAGTCATCTGTGTGGAATTCGAATTTTGGTCACGTGTTGCTTGTATTATGTGTTTTGTGTTTCTTGCTGGAAAGGTGCAATGCCAATCATGTGGAGAATTTTTATTCCCAGCTTTCCCTGAACAAATTTTTTTCAATCTCTTAATACATGTAATTGTTTTTTTTTTCAAAAATAAATAAATAATAAATTCCAAATTTTTATTTGAACATTAAAATTTGAGCTCAAATATAATGTAATTGTTAAAACATGTATTAATCTCAATTTATAGACCCTTAAATAAAACCTATATTTTTCGCATTGCCTCTTTTAAACCAGCACATTTTGGTTTTGCTTTTTTTTCTCTTCCTCCTTTTCAGCATTCAGTTCGATCGGAGCAGAGGGAGCAGCTTCCACAGTCTCGCGGCTGCTGCAGCTGAAATCTTGTCCATCCATTCACTTTGTGTATTTCCTAATTGCCCGCTTCCGTTCCACGACTTTAGAGCGCGGTGGTGAAGAGCTGCTTTTTCAGCTCGCTCTATTTTCAAAGGTCGCAGAAAACGCTCTTGAAATTTCGTTTGTGCAGTGTGCGTGTACCGCGCGCGGAAGTATTGATTTACCTTTCCGAATCGGTTTTATTTTATTGGCCCCTTTGGCCGATCGCATTCGGCCTCAAAGGAGATCGTTTGGATCGTTCCTCTCAAAACATTGCGTGGACAAAACCACCACAAGACGATTATTTTCAACTGGTGGAAGTAATTGGGAACGTTATTTTTGTTTGTGTGTTTCAAGAGATTTTTTAAAAGCGACCGTTTAAAATTCCTGTTTTCAAAAGCATCACCTCTTAAAAAACATTTTTTTATCTTTAAAGTAAAATAAATTTCAAACTTATAATATTATTTATGTAAAAATAGTATATATTTTAAATATTTTTTTATAATTTTTTTACCAACCCAGTTGAGTTCCATCCCTTTGTCCCCCGTTCTCGGTCTTTAAGGGTTGTGTGCCGATGTTTCCAGACAAATGTTCCCGCAAATGAAATTTCGCGTGTCTGGTTTGGACGCCAAGGCGAAATACATTCTGCTGCTGGACATTGTTGCCGCCGACGACTACAGATATAAGTTCCACAACAGGTACCTATCTTAGCCCAACAGCTAGTCTGCAATTTTGTGTTTTGTGTGTCTACAGACGCATGTTCCCCGCCTACAAAGTGAGAGTAACCGGCCTAGATAAAAAGTCCAAATACATCCTTCTAATGGACATCGTGGCGGCAGACGATGCTCGATATAAATTCCATAACAGGTATAGAAAAACGATGACCACAATAATAGTGTTTATTTCAAATACTCTATATAATAATATATATGAATGAAAATAAATATAAAAGCGCCGGTCTCTCTGATTAATCGAACTGAGAGTGAACAAAGAGTTGAGAATTCCCAGTTGCCGCATACACGGAAAACGTGTGCTTAATTGTCTCTTTTATTTAAATTTTGCCTGCTGATTAAATTTAATTTTGGAATCCTAACAGTCGCTTTTCGATTGGTCTGGGCTCTTTTTTAATGTGACGCATTATTTAACTTTTATTTTGGCATGCACTATAAAGTGGGAAGTGGGAAATCTCAACTGATCGGTCTGTTTAAGCTGTTGATTTGCGAAAAAGATTGAAACTGTCAGCACGTCTGCAGTACGATGCATTTACAATTTTTTTTTTTTTTAATAATTATGTGTCCCCGCCTTGATACAATTTTCTTTGCACGAATCTGTGGCAAAAAAATAACCTGCTTTATTAACGAAAACGTTCTGGGCGTTCTTCCCTTCTGCCGAGATTCGCAAGGAATTTTTTTTTTCATGTCATTACTATTGCATTAAGTACTGTGACGTCAAGACCAAATGAGTAAAATGGCCGCCATACTCTTAACACACAGTATGACCAGGTGAACATATGCGTGTGCATGTTTTATTTGATATAAAAATGAAGGCAGCAGCAGCAATCCTTTTCCTCTCTCTCTCCTCTTCAGTGTCGGCACCTGCGAATTATAAAAGCGGCTTATCCGCCTTGATTCATAATTCATAAACTGGCAACATCTCATTTGTATTACACTCATGTTGTGACATCCCCCATGCCTATAAAATATACCTCATTGACAGTGTTTGCCGGTTAATATTAAATAAATTTAATAATTTTATTAATATAAAATGATGAGAATAAAAGGATTGCTGGGCATCGCTTATTATTATTATTTTTTTCTGAATGGCGCTAAACCTCACTCACAGTTCAATGTTTTTTCAAAAATCAACAGCTGGTCTGTTGATAGGTTTAAGTTTTTAAGTTGACTTATCTGCAGCTTATCCAATATGAATTTATTATTTCAATTTTATTGCCATGGAGCTTTCTTTTAACATTCAGTTCGCATGCTGACTTATGCAATTTTTAATTAAGCTGTACAAAAATATTGCATGCCTCTTTAATGAGGAAATTTGCTGCCATATTGGATTAAAAATGCAGTAATTTTTTTGTCTTCTAACAAAGACGTCTGAGTGGCTGCTCTGAAAGTTTTGAATGCTACCGCAGTTTCCCGGAATCAAAATCAAAACGCATAAAAAAGTATGTACATCTCTGTGTGACTCGCACCACTCAGACTCTTTTCTAAAACTCCTCTGTAAGAGAAAGAGGATTCAAAGCGTGGAAATTTTCCACGACCTCTGGTACAAAATTTTTAAATGTTTTTCAAAAGGGGAATATTAATTAAGAGGGGGTTATATTTGGTACGTTTTGAGAGGTCGTTGAAAATTCCGACGCGCAAGTGTATTAAAAATTTGCAATTTTGCATTTTTCGCCTTTTTACGTTGCAGTCGCTGGATGGTGGCTGGCAAGGCTGACCCCGAAATGCCCAAAAGAATGTACATTCACCCCGACTCCCCATCCACCGGCGAACAGTGGATGCAAAAAGTCGTCTCCTTCCACAAACTCAAGCTGACCAACAACATCTCCGACAAACACGGCTTCGTCAGCACTGTAAGTTTTTATATATTTTTTAATATTTCAAATTTTGGATGGGGGAAAAATTAAACCGCGCGCCGTATTTAAGGACTATAAAATAATTTATGTTTTATGATCTGCGTGAATTTCGTACACCAGGATTTAAATCTATAATAATTGTAAAATGTAGGTACAATTTTATTACAGAAGTTTTATCAGACATCTGCGCTTCCCCGACATGAAACAAAGAGTGCAAATGTGTCAACATGCAATGTTTTTCGGCTTGTCCGCCACTTTCCGTCGATAAAGTGACACCAGCTTTCAGCATGCACGCGTTCAATTAAATATTTTTCAAATGCGAAATGGTGCTGATAAAATAAAAAATGATGGCATGATTTCCGCGAAGTGAAACGCCGCCGAGCAGAACGGAAATTGTTGGAGCTTGTGTGAGCGCAAATCGCACTCGTATGTTGGAAAATTTTCGAAAAATTCATTTGGAAACGCGAGAAAGTTGGTCGGAAATTTAATCATGGCGTCAGAGCGTTGACAACTCTTTCGCCTTTTTTAATTATTCCGCTTTTTCATTGTTTCGCGTTTTGTTATCAAACTCGTAAAATACGCTTTTTATTGCTTTCGCCGGAAATTTTAATCTCTGCAGCACAGCTGACTGCATTTGAATTTTCCGTCTTGTGAATTATTCTTCCTTTAACTGATAATATAATTATTGAGAGAATTCCGGAGACCCCCGGCATGAGAGTGTAAATAAAATGCAGTATAATTCAAAGAGTTTTGTTTGTATATAGAGATGAACGTGTTTCCATCATGCAGCATTAAAACGGCCTGATAATAATACGCCGCGAGTGTAATTATATTTTACGAGGCTCGCTCTAGCTCGTATATAATGAAGAAATTTGGACGCGGCTGGATTTCGGTCTGAGAAAATTAGGAGGAAAATAATTTGGGAGCGCAGCACACGCATCTCACCATGCTTAACGAGGCGATCGCCCCAGGTGGAAATGCGTGTGGCCTCTCACATGATTACAGACAGAGCTCTATAATAATGATTGAGACGTCATCTCCCCAAAGTACGTCTCTCCCAGTGCAGCATCCGGGCTACAGGGAATTTCGATCCGAAGAAGAAAAAAACATTTCATGTCCCAAGGTGGGTGATCGATTCGATTGACCAAGAAAATTTATCGCTCAACTCCGATCAGATTATTTTATTTGGAGAGGAATTTTTCTTGAACAAATTAGCCCTGAATTTTTAAAATTCCTTTTGAAAGCAGCAGTTTTTCCCAAATGATTTGAGCCCTTTTAAATTTCGTATGAATAAATTTATCGGAACCGCTTTTCCATTTAAGGCTTAACAGGCGCCTGCTGTGTCATAAAAAGTTTTATGCGCATTAAAAGCAAACAAAGGGTAATAGCTTCGGCACATATACATATCGGTTTCACCAATCTTCACCCAAAAACCAAGTGACAACAATTTCCAACTTCCTTTTCTCGAATTCCGTGCACGAACCCGCGGCAACACTCCATAAAACGTGAAAAATATAATAATTGGCACGGCTGAAGTATAAAAAAAATATATAGCAGTGGAAATTGTTTTTTCCCCATGCACAGCCTGCCTGGGGGTAATTAAAAAAGTTTTGGTGCCGAAAAACAGAGCGTTATCGGTCGCGATGATCGCTAGGCTTTTATTGCACCGAGCTAGCGATTCGGGGAATAGGCGATGGTGCGTTTCTGCGCTCGGCTGCCGTTCTCACTTTGCACTCAAAATATGGGCGTCACCGCAGTTCACAGCAGCTCGTGTCATCACCTTTGCATTAAAATTAATTACCGAGCTTGACACCAACGCTAATTTTGGATAATGGTGCGCGTATATTGAAATTAACGAACCTTGCCGATCATGAGCTGAAAATTTTCATTTTAGCTTTTCTTTGGGAGCTTCTTTAATTTTCACATAAAAGTGATCAAAGTCAAATTAAATAGATTAACATTTAAAGTATTGAAGCCTCTCAACCGTCCAAATTCACGTGAGGATTAAACGTCTAGTTCATAATTGTCTAACCTGTGATCTTGTTCTGTATATAAATATTTCTTTATATTTTATTCAGAATAATTCTAAAGTTTGATTTTCAAACTTATAATACTTTTGAAAAGTATCTTAAAAATAAATACAATTTTCATACAAAAATTTAAAAAAAAGCAAATTAAAATAAATATAAGTTTTATATTTAAAAAAAATTGAGTTTACATAATTATATTTTATTGTGTTTAACATTATTTTGTTTGTTGACAATTAAAAGATAACATTAAAAGGATGTAAATTTTAATTTCCCAAATTATATCGAAAGTTTTAAGGTTTTCTCTATACACTAAATTAATAATTATTTTGTATTTAATTTTTCATGACTTTGGTTCCTTTTCAACTGGAAGACGGCGTGGCCATTCGCAAATTTGCAAAAACTACAGACACACAACATGTGTGCTCGGCAATTAAAGTTTTCACAAGCTGCTAATTAGCAAGTGCGAGAATGGCTCTTCGCTTTTACACTTGGCGGTCTCCAGCATCTTTTATGCTTCTTTCGGCGGCCAGAATCGCGCGCATATAATCGATACGGGCAGTGTGCGCGCTTTTAAAAGTATAAAAAATATTATTTATCTCCCCGACTCTTGGAAAACTTGATTTCCCCGGCTCGTAGGCAATAAAAGCGTCTGTAAATTTAACTTAAATGTGCCGTCGTCGCCGCCGAACCCATGCACCTTATCAAAACCGGCGGCGGAAGAATAAAAATTGGTTTGAAAAAAATACCATGAACTGCAAGAATAGAACACGGCCAATTAACTCTCGCACCAGCAATTATGACGCGCATTGTTAACTTCATATTGGTGCTCGTGCCGAGAAACTTTTGACCACCGCACCAATTTCCGGCGATAACTTTGAGCAAAAAGCATTACTGCGGTTGTTCAATTGAGTAATTGCACAATATATAAATCAATAATCCAGTGATCTCTTTAAACTCTAACGGTTTTTCTTCTTTTTATACCGTTTTGCTCATTATTTGGATAAATTGTTTTCAGTCCTATTAGTTTGAAACCATAAATGACTGATTCAGAATGACCAGCTCGTAAATTTTTCACCTTTTTTTTCTCTCTCGCGCCCTTGAAACGGCTGCAGGCTCATTATGATAGGTTTGTTTTCTCGCTCCTAATTTATGAATTCCCCGACCCAATTCTGATTTATGATCGATCTCGGGAGGTTTGGATCTCTCCACCTTGTGTGGCATTTTTTTTTTTTTTTTTTTTAATAAAGGTGAAAATCCACACGTCGTTTCATTATATAGGCAAAACAGCGCTCTCCAAATTGTGTCATCAATAGTTGGGCCAATTTGCATCGAAAAACAATTTAATCCCCGGCGAAACAAGAGTCGCGCTAATTAGGAGACTATTAAACGGGCTTGATATTTAACCGAGAGAGCTAGAAAAAAAGTAATGGGCGCGCGGCCGTTTTGAGCTTCTGAGATGCCCAGTTCATGCCTCAGCAGTCTTATTTTTACAATTTTAATGGGTGGTATTTTTGGTTTATGTGGCAGCAGAAGAAGTTATAAAATAAAGAACGGCGAAAAGTACATAAAGTTTTGTCTGCTCTGGCTGCCGCGCCGAGTACATAGGAGATGCTGTTTTTATGGTTCTCACGCAGTCGAAAAATACATAATAAAAAGTGGCGAAGTTTGCCGGCGCGGACCCACCACCAGGCCGAATAAATTTCCCGCGCGCAACACCGCGATTATCATTATATATTTTTGGAAGCATCATCTTCTCTCCTTATGGTGTCGCGCACGTTATTTGAAAAAAGCAAAAAAATGTTCCGACACTTTTCAAGGGAAGCCGATAAAACAGAGTTGTTAATGCGCGGTGACTGCGCGAGCAAAATAAATATGGCAATAAAAATTGATTGCTCGCGCTTTTCCGCAATTAGCCTGCTGAGTACACCCGTGTGCTGATGGGGATAAATTTCCATAATTGAGAAATTATATAAAGTAGCTTGTTATTGAAAACACACCTTTCTCGCGCGCACTTGAATAAGAAAATTGCCTCATGCACGTTAAACAATTAATTTCTCACCGGCGAATAATAAAACTCTCTCTGCGAGGAGGTATAGAGTTTTCCACTCTCAAATTACCATATTGGTTTTTATTTATATAGACATTTTTCTTTATTGAGGAGACTAATTAGCACTGATTTATATGCTGCAGGATTTTTTTTCATTATTTCCAGAGAAAAAAAGGGGTACACAAAAAAATTTTATTTTAATAAATTTCCGCCTTGAAAAAGTGGCGAAATTCTCCAGTCGATAGTTCAATTGTATGAAGGTAAAATTTAATTTCCAAAAGATTAAATTACTTTGAAGTGGTTTAATTAAACGTTGTGGAAAAAAAGATAATCACATAATGCCTCTTATTAATCATTTCTATTTTACAATTTTAAACAAGCTTTTAAAGTATTTCCAATTATCTAATATTTCAAATAAGTTATTTAAATTAATTTATATTTGATTTTTAATTTGCTTACTTAGCATGCAACACTCTGCAGCACCTTTTGCATATTATGGCTAATCACACCGTGTGTGGCGGTCATTATTTAATGCATTGTATCAATTCTCTGGTCGCTTGTTGGGCAAGAAAAAATATATAAATACACGCGAGAGGAAAAGCGCGGCGGCGGGATTATTATTGCGACAAGAGCCGTAGCGCGCAGAAATGTAAGGACACCATCAATGCTCATTGTATTGTTCGGTTCTTTGGTTCGTTCGATGGCAAACAGTAGTGTATTGTCTTGCTGCGAGACCGAGAGAGCAGGAAAATGTAAATTATTTATAAAGCCAGAGAGGCGGCGGCGTCTTCAAAAGATGACGCCGCAAAAGCAGCTTTGCCTCCGCAAAGGTATACGCGCGGCGATGACCAATCACACCAAATACTTACTCAGTCTGCATTATTTGTTTTATTAAGTGCACCTTTATTTGCGCGCCATCG